TTACAGATGAGGTCATTCTATTAGGTAATAATAAAAATCCTTTCTTTAAAATAACAAGAAATGAGAACAACAAAGAAAGGTCAACCCTGGAAAAGGAACGCCAAAAAACAAACGTGTCGGCAGGAAGCCTTCGTCAGCCTAAGTGTAAAGTCTGCTTATTTAGTGCGATCGTGACTAGCAAAAACACACCAAGCTGGGTGAATTTGGAAAACAAGCTTATCCAGACCTATGTAACATTGACACCACATGGCATGAACGTCATGTCTTTGTTCACAGCATAAGCCTTTGCCCCACCCCTCCATGACAAATCGCAGTGGACTAACTTCTCCTCCTTTCTTTCCCCTTTCCTTATTTAATCTCTCACCTAATTATTTTCTGTCACAATTCTTTTGCTGCCTTCTCAGATAATACTTCTCAGCTAAGTGATATTTTTTAATTTTATTCTGTTTTTTCTGTTGTTTGTTCACTGACGAAAGCTTCCTGCTGACATGTTCATTGTTTTGTTGTGTTCCTTTTTTCAGGTTTGACCATACTTTGTTTTACTCATTTCCTATTTTGCTAACGTGATTGCAGTCTCTCCCCTTATTACCAATTTAAAATAATTTTTAAAATTTACGGGGGGGAACCACGGTTAGATGTCATTTAATTCAATAAATAATAAATTATCCATAATAAGAAAATATATCTAACTTAAAATGACAAATATTGTAGACAAACGTGTTACTTCATGTGCTTGCAATGTTAATACTTACTTTAGTCTTTATGTTGCCTTTACTTTCCTCTGAAATATAAATAGCACTATTTGTTGTTTGTAATATTTTTTTTTTAAAAACAACAACAATAAACAGTCTTAAACAATGTTTCAACAAGGCTGCAACTATTCGTACCCGGGTACCAGAAGTGAGAGGTTGGGATTAAAAAACTATTTAAAATTTTATTGTTGGGTTTGTAAGACAAAATGAGTTATCAAATGAAAGATAATTGAATAGACTATATGTTTGTAAACTTACTTCTTTAGCTTAACTAAAATAAACTACCACAAATGACATCCGTATAGCTTGAGACTAATGGTGCCTGAGTGTGAATGGCGGTGCTGAGTGTCTGGGTCCATTTTGACTCAGTGCTATTTGGATCTCATTTTTGGTAGTTTATTTTAGTTAAACTGAAGAATTAAGTTTACAAAACATATAGTCCATTAAATTATCTTTCATTTGATACCTCATTTTGTCTTACAAACCCAACAATAAAATTTTAAATAGTTTTTTTAATCCCAACCTCTCATTTCTGGTACCTGGGTACGAATAGCCACTTCGTTTCAACAATATCAATATTTTTTTACAATTAATTACAATGATTCTGCACAACAATTATCAATAAGTTTTTCAGTATCTTAAAGGGTCAATTAAAAGCATGAATCAAATTAAATAATGAGTGTTCGTGTGTAACATACAACGTGTTTTCATAGATTCCTAAAAGTGAAATAAATCTTTCATCAACCTTATGAGAAATTTTGACAAAAAGTTGTGATTTCATTTAAAATCTTCAAATATCATGAACCTTTCTATACACATGGGCGAGTAATCTCTTTGAGAATAATAATTTTTCATTATATAACCTTGATACTGCCACAGCCTGTTCATCTCATAGAGATTTTCAGATATCATTCTGCACAAATACCTTGATCTGATGAGACATCTAACAGAGCAGCTGCTGGTTTCCTCCTCCTCCTTATGATAAAACTCTCTTCTGGTTCATCTTTATCTGCCATACAGTAACATTTTGGGTCCGGTTACAAATTTTCATAAAATATTAGAAATAATAAACATTCCAGGTTAAAACATTTCAACTGAAATGAAAGTAAACTTTAAGGAGAAAACCCAAAATAGCTAAGTGCTAAGCTTAATAATATATTAAAACATTACTCAAGAGGGGGGGGGGGGGGGGGGGGGCGCCTAAACAAAAATAAAATGCAACTGCAAGGCATCTTTCAAGTAGTTAAGGAGCAGCCTTCACTTTACTTTAATAAGAAAGACTTCACTGATAAAGACTTCACTTTAATAAGAAAGACTTCACTGATAAAGACTTCACTAATAAAGACTTCACTGATAAAGACTTCACTAATAAAGACTTCATTGATAAAGACTTCACTTTAATACAGACTTCACTGATACAGACTTCACTGATACAGACTTCACTAATAATGACTTCACTTTAATAACAACTTCACTGATAAAGATTTCACTAATAAAAACTTCACAACTGAAGACTTCACTAATGACTTCTTATAAAACTTCAGTTTAATAAAGACTGGCCCTTTATATCCAAAAAAAGCATATCGGGAACCTCTGCCCGTTTTACATCAAATGAGTTTACCTGCATCCAAATTTGGCCGATTTATTTTTTCAATTGGTGTTAAATCCATATCATCATCAGAAGGCAGGTTTTTTTTAGCAGCAGGAAGGCGAATGGGTGTGCTGGCTTTCACTTCAGCATCCAGAGCTGCCAGCTTGCATTTTTGTCTGTGAGGGACCGCACACATTCCAGGTGGAAGTCTGTGAGGGACCGCACACATTCCAGGTGGAACATCAACATTAGAAACTGGTTCCCTGTCATTAACGCCAAACACCCCACTACTTCTTGAACTGTAACACTTGTCCAGCTCCGTACACTTGTCCAGCTCCGTACACTTGTCCAGCTCCGTACTGCTTGAAGAGCTAGTTGGCTGTGAAGCATCTTTGCCGCCCCAATGAACATTCAGAAGTTCTCTGACGGAAATGTTTGGACTTGATTTACAGACGTTATCACTTTTGACATTAATGTCCGCAATAACAAGTTCTTTGGCAGGCCTGTTTAGCTCGCTAAAGCGTTCCCTCTTTTCCCCCAGTCGGAGTCTGCCAAGTCGAAGTTTATTTGCTTGATCTGCGCTATTACTGGGGCTCTGCCTTTTTTCAGGCTTGCTGATTAATGCTCCGGAGCAAAAAATTGTCTGAACTTTCTGCGGTGTTTCAAGTCTGTCAGTGTCATGGGAGTCATTTTTAGACTTGATCATATCATTAGTTCTGTTGGGATTAGCATTTCCTTCAGTGGATGAGTTCACATGACTGCAGTGTTTGTTAACTGACAGTTTGACCTTCTTTGGCAGTGATGTGGCAATCTCATCTGCTTCCTCTTCATCACTATTGACATAAGAGCTCATCAGCTGTCCAGATGCCATGTTAATGATATCAATGAAACGACTATGTTGTTGGTCATCCGAATGTCTTTTCACCCTCTGAACTGGAGTCAAGCTGCAATTGTTTTCAGAGCTCTCTGTTACAGTTTGTTTATTTTTTCCAAATTCGCCTTGTTTTGCTTTGAACATCAGCTTTGCATTTGTCACTTCCGGTGTGCTTTCGATCAGACTCATGTCCATGTCATCCGGAGTGGATGGGAAGTCATTGACTGTTTCAATGCCAGACTCAGTCGTGTTGGCCAATGTTGCATCCATGACTTTATCATCCGGCATTTGTTTACAGGAAGGTGGCCCTTCTTGATTCTCCACTTTCATAGTACTCCCCTTTAGAGTATGTTGGATATCGGCACTTTTTACAAGATTTGTTTGACAAACAGCGGATGTCTCACTCGCTTCATCTTTAACAGATACGCTGTGAGGAATACCTTTGTTGGAGCTTTGAAAGTTTTCAGAGTATGAATGAAACGGTTTGGTCACTCTCAGTTTGGAGGAGGTGTCAAGGTGACCCAGGGACGCATGCCTTGAGAGGGTTACAATTTTTAATCCCATGGAAGGCGCGTGGGAGATATTTTTGCAAGGTGTGGGTGGAATGACATCATCGTCCAAATCAAATCCCAAGTCAAACTGCGGCAAGTCGAGCTCTACTGAATCATGACTTGAGTCTTTTGTGGGAGTGACTGCTAGTGGTGGGCTACGACTGGAAATATGGGAGGTTTTAGTAAAAATATCACCACTGCCTGAAAAATGAGCCGAGCTGATGCCAAGACCTGTATTTATTTTGTTACTGACAACAAATGGATCGACACTATGGGAATCTCTTGTGATGTCATGCTTTTCAATAAGAGTTTTTGCTTCTACTGAATTATTAGTATGTTTCAAAATAGTTTGTGAAGACATCTTTCCATTGGAAGGCTCGGGTGTGCTGCTTTTTCCATGAAGTGATGCATCTCCATGATTCATACCAGTTTTGGTTACTTGAGATTTGACCAGTGTTTTACTGGCAGGGGTCGGACAGACAGGAGGGTGGCCATCATTGCTGCCATCAGAGGAACTAAAATCGAGGCAGTCCAAGGCCTGGGTGGCGGTGATGAAACTGGACAGGTCAGCTGTATTTTTCTTTACATTTAGTTTACCGGGAGTAGTGGCCTTGAACTCGCTAGGATCAAGGTCAACATCCTCAGCATCAGATGCCAGGGAATAGGTAACTTTATTCCTGTGTTCATTATCTGCAATCTTCTTACCTTCTTCTGAACTAATTATTTCCCCAATTTCTTCTTCCTCTAGTTCAAGGGTAAAGTTCAAGGTAACTTCTTCCTTGGAAAGATCAGGTTTGGCAGGAGTTGACCCCAAAAGATTTCTGCTTTTAAAGCTACCTCTTCCAACCAGGCTTTTAAACATGGGGCTTTTGATAGGGCTATCGTCATCAAAATCGATGAATTCTGGTCTTTGTACATCAATTGTTAATGGATGTATTTCTATCTCAAAACTTGAATTTTTCTTCTTGGAATTTGAACAATTCACATCAGTTTTTTCACTTTCTGAGCTGTTTGAAGAGCTGAACATATATTTTTCTAACAGCTTGCTTTCCAAAGATATGTCATGTTTACTCGGGTCAATAAAACTTTTATTGAAAGATTTCAATATCCCTTTCGGCTTCTCTGGTAAAAATTCCTGTCTGTTTGAATGCATCAGATCTTCACATGCAATATTAACAGACTTGCTCCATTCTGCGACTAAACTCTCAAGGTCTAGCTCTGCAAAGTCAGACACAGATTTCAAATTTTGAAACAGGAGCGCCACCTCTGAAACATCTGGTGCAGTGGGCACAAGTGAGCCAGGAATCACTTGTGTAAGGTTACATTTGATACCACTCTGTTCAATGTTTTCCACCTCTTTAAAAGAAGTCGAATTTCTTCGGCTGGTTCTGTGCTGTAATCCTGGCTCATGCTCAATAAGTTCAACTTCAGCAGTTCCAGCAGTCACATGACCATTTCTGGATATATTATCTGTATGAGAGATTGAAGATGCGTTGCCTTTGAATATTTTTTTCACTTTGATCTTCTGCTTGGACTTGAAATTTGGTGAGCTTGCCACACATTTTTCTCTTGAAGTTGACTTTTCCTTTTTCTTTGCGTTTGCTCTACTTTTCTTGGACTTTCCTTCCACAGCAGTCAGATTACCATTTTTCCTTGCAGCACGTTTCACCGCTGCCTTCCCCGACTTCTGTTTTGATGATTTATTCAGGTCCACTTTGTCTGAACTATTACTGACAACGTCATGGGCAACCACAGCAGAACTCCTGGCTTTCACAACTCCACAACTTTCATCCAGTGGATCATTAGGTGGATCGTCATCCCGGCTGGACTCACTGTCTATAATAATAGAATTGAGACCATGAGATCCTTTTGTTACCATGTCAGGCTTCACTCTTGTTCTCCTTTTCTGGTTTTTATCAACATTGCCCTTCTGAGTTTCAAAATTGATTTTATCCTCCAAGTCTGACTCTGTCGCTCTATGAGTCCTGCTTTGTTTTGTTGACAGAAATGACACTATACTGCTCTGTCCAACATTAACACTTTTGCTCAGGTTTGGATCAGCCAAGTACTTTCCCATTTCCACACCGTAACAGTCCTCCTCTTCACCAATGGCCTCTGTAATGAAATGGGATGCACTACATTATCAGATTTCATATTTTATTTTGTAAACCGTAAGATAAGATAAGATTCTTTTGTTGATCAAAATAAATGGAAGTGTTTTTTTTTAATTATATTGTACATATTCATTTTCAGCACATAAAGAAATGCATATCTAAACCAAGACAACATTTTACAGGCAATTCATCCCTTCTGTTCCTTTTTTATTATTATGGAGGGGCAGCATTTTCTGCTAACTGCAGAGTTTTTATTGTGGAATGGGCTGGCAAAAATCTTTGCCAACCCATGGTGGCACTAACCCTAGCTACAATTTTGGGTAATCCATATATCGGCGCAAACTTTGGCCATAATGAAAACCAGGACCTTCTGTAAATCTGCCCCCTTGCATAAAATAAAATAAATTCATTCAATTTGTGGCACCCCTCAGGGCAGCCTTTATTTGTCATCCCAACCCCTAAATGAGTCTTATTTTGACATATAGTTTCTCTATTCTCCTGTACCCTTAATTGAGACTTATATTGACATTTAGTTTCTCTTGTCTCCTGTACCCCTAGATGAGACTTATTTGACATATAGTTTCTCTTGTCTCCCATATACGTAGATGAGCCTTATATTGACATATATTTTCTCTTGTCTCCCATACCCCTAGATGAGGCTTATATTGACATATAGTTTCTCTTGTCTCCTGTACCCCTAGATGAGACGTGCTGCCATAGGGTATGCTTTTACTCCCAGCGTTGTTTTTTTTTGTAGTTAAAATGGTGCAGAGACAGTCATTTTGATTGGGTAGGTGGGACAGAATGTGAGCAGACCAAATGGCTCCCACTCCCCAAAAAATTTTTTGATAAATTCAAAATCAGGGGGTGCGTTTTGGCCTTTATCTGAATTCATTCCATCTTTCTTTCAGAAAATTGATCCAAGGAGGGGACATTTCAGGAGCTGTGGAGCAGGCAGGCCATATAATCAGCGCACAAATTAGCCATTATGGCACCCAGTGCCATACATAGCCTGAACTCATTCCAATTGTGGCAAGACCCCGGGGTATTCTTTTGACCCCATCTTAGTTTCGCCCTTCTAGGGTCACATTTATAGGCATGGGGAAGGTGGATAGCAGAAATCGGGGGGGGGGGGGGGGAGGGGGGGGGGGGGGGGGGGGGGGGGGGGGGGGGGGGGGGGGGGGGGCGACTATGGCTCCTGAGCCCTTCCCCAGAAAATTAAATTTAAAAATTTTTTTGATGAATCCAAATTGCTGGGGTGCATTTTGGTGCATAATTGAATTTAGTTTTGCACCATTCTACAATAAATGGGATTGCAACGGAATTCAGGCATCACCTATATTGTTATATTGTTATAAAAACTACATTTTAAATTTTTATTAAATAACAGTTATGTTGTTTTTAAATTTTTATTTCAACTATTTATTTCATTCGAATTTTTAAAAGAATATCCCCATTCAAAAAAGCTGGCAGACAAAAAAAACAACAACCTGTATAATAATTACCAAATATTTTTAACTCTTACCAGATGCAAAAAGAGGAAAAGTACTGGTTTGAAGAAAAGGTCTATATATAATTTTTATAAGTTTTATACGAATGTCAAAAGATTCAATTTATGACTATTTTTAAAGCGTGATGAAATTATTCCATTAACATTTTGTGAAGAAACAGAAACTGAAAACATACTGCCAATATTTAATACTTAGCAAGATCTAAATCAAAATAATATTTTAATATAGGCCTTTAAAGTGATAAAAAAGTAGTTTAATTCTTTATTGTTCCAAGGAAAGGCTGCACTTTCTCCGCATAGTGTAAGTTTAAACTGTGTGCAGCCTACAATCCAGAGGTTGAAAATATATATATATATATATATATATATATATATATATATATATATATATATATATATATATATATAGTGTGTACCATAAAAAAGAGAGTGTATATATATATATATATATATATATATATATATATATATATATATATATATATATATATATATATATATTAGCCTAATGTGAACGACATCAAATATATTGGGCATAACAATTTTTATTGGTCAAACTATTTCACTAATTTTTATCGTTGAAGGGAACCATTTACTGCTCTTTAGATTATTTATAATAAAAATAACAAATTTTTTTTAAAATTATAATTTTGCTTCCATTTTTTGAAACCTTTTTTTTTTAAATTTATCCCCCCCACCCTAAATAAGATTGGAAGCAGCTGCTTCCTCTCATCACAGAGAGAAAAACAAACAATATCCACTTTTGAAAACCCTGTGTCCGCACACTCTTTATGGCAGATGTCTATAAAATTGAAATGTCAACACTTTGGTCAAACTGGATTATTGGAGCCAATTTACTTCTTACTTATGAACAGAGAATCTTGAAAATTTCAAAAGGTTTAAGAGTTTAACTTACGCTGAAGTTGAATGAATTCAGCATCTTTGACTAAATGGACACTTTGTACAGAGTGTCCAGAGATATGAGCTTTTTGCAGTCTATTCTGCCAAGGCATCCATTCAGAAAATTGTATCACATTATTAGGACTTGTACTTTCTGCCTGAAATTAGCCAAAGTATTATAAATACATTATTAAAATGTCAATGTACTCAATACTGGGTCACAAACAGGTTGTAATTCCTGGATGACATTGTTAAAAAAAAATATTTAAAAAAAAGATAAAAAGTCACCCAATTTATATTTTCTGAAACTCCATTAATCTGAATATAACCATCAATAAATTTAAAAGTTATTCTAAAAGTAAATGCATTTCATTTCCAACAGCTGTAAATCAGTCATGGCAACTTAACTTAAGCATGGACCTGCTGAATCAGTCATGTGATGTTTTTATGGCTACAAGGTAAATTTCCATTGAAAACCACACATATTTTTGGCACCAACTCTGATAATCCATCTGATGTTCATAAACGTAAGTACAAATGATTGATCATGTTGAGTTTTACCTTTCTCCCAGTTTTCAAGCAGATACACTGAGGTTTTGGTATGTGCTTAGCCAAACTTGAAACCATGGCAAATTCTTCTCGAATAGATTCATGTTCATCATGTGTTAAATGGCCTACATCTATTGATTTTTTGGCTCCTATATTTCAAAAAGAATTGAATTCATTTTTAAACTGACGTCCGTTTAAAAAATGTATAAAATATTTATTTTTCTTGTTTAATTCATTCAAAATTATATATTATATCAAGCAATCAGCATAATTTTATTTTGTAAATTATCACTTTGAAGAATTTATTCTGTTTAAATTTAATTTAATATTTTATTTCTTTAATATCTCTGAAAATTTAACAATAAAGCCCAAAATTAAAATCAGGCTATCATTATAGTTGATGATAGATATACACTTGTGACAAACCTTTTTTCCCAAATACATCAGAGATCTTTCTCAACTTGTTCCCAGACACCAGCTTTACATTCTTATCTGATTTTTTCCCTCCATTTTTAGAGTCTGTGCTAACAGTTATGAACATCTTGTGGCATTTGGGGTGTATGGATGATGGGACCATTCGAGGATTGTTGGGGTAGAAATGAAGGGATCTGGCACCATTGAGGATTGCTTTGTGAATGCTTCTTTTCGAGCACTGGCTTTGGTTGTAAATCTATAAAGTCATTAGATGGTAATCAATTAAAATTATACAATTTACAACTGAATACCGGTAATTAATGAAAATGGTCTCCTTACTAATTGTTTTTTATGAAACACCTTCATAACAAAATGAATTAAAGGGTCTTCTATACATTGCATGCACACTATTTCATAATTTCCCTACCCTTCCCAAGTTCAGTACCGAAATATATTTTTTGCTATTATATATGTTGCAATAATATTACCTCCACATCCCACTCCCAAATGCTCTTTATAAAAATGTCTTAAACTCAATTTAATATTTTAAAAATAAATAGCTTATCTACAACACCTTTAGGCATTGCTAACTTACAGGACTTAAAACACTGTGATGAGAACAATATTTCAGTGTCTGGTGACGTATGGTCAAGCTGTCTAAAACAAGCCACCAAAAGCCAAGCATGAGGCTTTGTTTGTTACGAGCTCAACGAGCCACAACATTTCTTGAACAGGGAGTAAGATAAACGTAGCTTTAAAAGATTACTCTTCTTACTTGCTCTTCTTTTCCTTCTGTCACCAACATAACAATCCTGCCCTCTCTTTTACGACCTGTCCTCCCCATACGCTGCACCAGTCTGATGGGGCTTTTGTGGGCATCGAAACAAATAATTAGGTCAACATCACCAATGTCAAGACCTTCTTCACCAACACAGGTCGACACCAATGTGTTGTAGCCACCTTCCCTAAACTTCTTCATTACCTAATGGTAAAAAAAGCAATTAGTTAAAAACGAAAGCAAGCTCATTTGTACATTTTATTAATTTGAATCAATATCAAGATAATTAGAAGCAAAGGAAACTATTATCCCATTAAAACAAATGTATTATTAACTCTTTCGATGCGGAACAACACACACTGCGTTCGACCGCCATTCTCAAAAGCACTGACCAACAGGCTGTGCGTTGTTTCAATACCATGTTTGTTTCTTTGCTATTTCTCAGTTAAACTTTTTAAGAGCTATTTTTAAATAAGACTTTTACATAGAATAGTGGTATTCATTGTTTATAAGCGAAACCGAGGTTTATTTGTTGTCATGCTTCAATTATTTTAATGATTTTCTTCGCTTTTTTTTTTCTTGTTGCTATGGCTACTCTAGGCCTTAGTGGGTGAATAAGTTTCCTAGACGATTAACAGCTCAAAAAGCTTTGGAATTGTTTTATACTATTTCTTTTGATAGTGAAGATGATTTATATTTAGATCCAATCGCATTATTCCGATAGTAGTAGTTTTAGAGGTTTTGAGTTATAGAAGTTAAGATGATCTATGGGTACATCATAGGGTTTGGGGGAAAAAATGGTTTAGCACAAAATATTTCACATTGTATAGATCTTTTCTGTAACTTATTTTATTTAAACTGAAGAAAAAAGATTACAAACCATAAAGTTCTTTCGATTATCTTTCATTTGATACCAAGTTTAGTCTTATAAACCAAAGAATAATATTTTAAATATTTTTTAATAAACCTAACTTCTCACTCTTTTTTGCTCTTCGAAAAAAATGTAAATTTTTTCGATAAAAAATTCCGCAGCAAAAGAGTTAAAGATAAAATATTTCAAAATGGCTGAGTATAAATTATTATTCAATTCAAATACAAAATTATATAAACAAAACTGAAAAGTGCAAAACATGGTCGGAGAGGTAGTTTTAAACATACCTCTAAATTTAGCTTTATCTTCAAGTTAGACATTTAAATTATGAAGTTATAGCCATTTTCAGTGTAGAGCTAATTTATAGATGTTATATTTAATTTTGTGTACCCTGATGTGCTGTGAAATTTATAGCTAATTCTATGCAGCACTTCATTTTCCTCTTCAATGTCAATATCAGGCTGCCTTTTAAGACACCTCATTCAACTTGCCCTACCATGAAAATTTTTGACTGACCATTAGTTGTTCTTTCTGTGTGTAGCCTTTAGTAGCCTTCCCAGCTGATGACTGGCCGATGAAAGGCATGACTTTGACGAGGGGATGATGCTGCTGAAGGATGGATGCTATCTCCTGGACACTGTCGCGATATTGGCTGAAGATCATAACTCTAGTTTCCAGACCCTCTGAACCAATTTAAAAATGGCAAAATGATTAATAAAGACAGAATATAATAAACTAGCTATAGCCCACCAAACAACAGCGGCCTCAATGTGTGAACTTTCCATCTACTAAAGTTACTTCACAAAACATGTGTTACGATCTTATTTCTTAAGGAAGTTCAGTGCATTGAATGTTATGATCTTTTTTCTTATCACTAGCAACAACAACATCCAATGAAAGTATCTATAAGTTACTTATTTGCAGAATCCTATCACAGCAACTACCAGTTCACAAAAAGTCCTTTATAGAATCCTTACTCACCGACACCTGTCGTAAGACAACTATCTTCTCTACATTTAAAGGGGGCTTGCACCTTTTCACACTGCAACATAGTTGCATAGTTCAACATACTGCCTATCACTAATAATCCCAGGGACTGAACTCCATGAACTGACCTTGCATGACCCGACCAATCACAAGTCCCCCTCACAAAGCCTCTCACTAATTCACTATCAACAACTTTCACACACAAATAATCACGCCCACAAATCCAATTCATAACAAAATGCATTCAAGTAATGCACTTTAGCAGATTTTCCAAATTAGCGCTCCCCCACCCCCCCTTAGGCCATCCTTGAACTATGTTAATAATATAATGTCCCAACCATTTAAAACCACAGATTTATTACACTATTTCCGTAAAAGAAAAGAAAATACTACGCAACAAATGCATGTGCTGCATTTTTAAGAACCTCATTTAGCACAGTTATCAGAAATCTTATTTTGCGCACTATTGAACATCTGGTAGCGTTAGTCCTATTAGTTGTTACAAAGATAATTAAGTATTTTGATGTTAATGTGTTGGATGTTATACAAATCTGAATTGCGAAGTGGGAGCTTTTTGGCAGATTCATAAAACTTACATCAGAATCCTAATTGGATTTCCTAATTTGATTCTGTTCATTTCTTTATCAAACATTGTTAACTCCTGGCTTTGAAAATCTCGATCCAAAAGTTAGATTTTGTTTCTTCAGGATGATTCTAAAGGTCGTGTTTCAAAAGTGCAGAAAACGCTTACAATTGTTGAACTAAATGAATAGTTAGATGAAGAGAAAAATTGAAAACAAATAAAAGTACTGACTTTTTTCAAAAGAGCTGAAATGCTCAACTACAATTTCTTCCAGTCGTTGCATTTTTGGGTGACCAACAGCAAGTTTACAATCCACAGATGCAGCACACCTGGAAAGGCCAAATATTCATTATAAAATCACAAACTTTTAGGTTGTCAAATTAGAGCCAAGTTCTCCTAATAAAACCAAGTGATATACTTGATAAGTTACAAATCTTTAGACAAAACTCTTAAATTACAGCCAAGTTCTCCTATTAAAATCAAGTGAAATACTTAATAAGTTACAAATGTTTAATGAAAAAGTTCAACCAACCTCTACTTTAATGTGACTCACCCTTGAAGCCCTGAAGCAGAAAACTTCTGTCTCAAGTTTTCCATGATGTCATTGAAGTCTGCGTTTCTCAACAGCTCAGAGCGTGTTCTTCCATAACCCTTGTCACCTGAGATGATCCCCATGAGATAATTGTAGAGTGACTTCAGACCGTGAAGTTGTAGGAGTTCGAAGCCATGGTACAGGCTGATGGCTAAGGCAAAGTCTGCCTCAATATTGCCGAACTGGGCTTGCTGCAATTGTATTTTTCAATGTAATTGTGAGATAGTAAAATTATAGAGAGGCAATTAATTAAAACAAAATTTATATTGTGGCTTTAAACAATCAGGCCATTCTTAAAGTTTTCATAATATAATCACAGTCTAAAGTTTGAAAAGACTTCATTAAAACTTTGAACTCCATTTAAATTTTAGTAACAGAAAAGATTAATCAAGATCAGTGTTATAGTTAAAATTCTATGGCTAGCTTGAAAATAAACTCATTGAAATTTGAAAAATGCATTGTATTTCAACACATTAATTAACAAGTTGTCTGTTTGCTACCTGCAGGTTTTGTGGAGGATTCTGTCTGAATTCTTCTCTGGATTTAAGGAGGAGAAACTTTGAGAGTTTGGTAGCGTCTCTGTTATACACAACTTTATTACGTATTAGACGCTGCACCACACATGTCATTATCTGGTTACATTAGTGAAAGAATAAGAAAGGCAATTTCACACCCACTTAAAAATTATTTTTCTTTGTATGCTATATTAATTTATCTTTTTAAATTGATGAAATTTTTTAACATAAAGAAGTTTTAAAAGCATTTAAGACTTTCATGAGCAGTGGGTTCATTGTGTTTTAAAAATAATGGAACAAATAATTTTATCAATAGAAAAAACAATGTTATCAATAGAAAAAGCGCTAGATGCTTTTGAAAGACCTTCAATTTTATAAAAAAGGTATCATTCCTTTATAATCTTTGTTTAAGAGAAAGAAAATGCACCTGTATGTACTGCAGTCTCACACCTGTCAACTCCTCCCCCAGCGGTACAACAATCTTATCAACTTTCCTCACATGAGTATAAGATCGTATGTCAATGGACTCTTCTGTTCTTAGTTCAATGTGACTAATCAGTAAATTGTTAATAACCTGCTGTACTGCCTGTCATGAGAAAAAATTAAAAATTAATATTTAAGAAATTCAATGCACAAATTTGAAAGTGATGAATTGTTTAACATTTACCATGGCTGTAAAATTAAATTAACAAAACTCAACAATGTGCAGCTCATAAACATTGTGAAGAATACAATACAAAGATGCATTGTAGCTTTGCTGGGCTTTTATATATCAACATTTCCTTCTAATAACTGTGGTGTCAAATAGATGTACTGGTCCGTGTAAAAAATGGATGTGCTTACTTTGAGGTCACCTCCTGGAGTAGCGCTGAGGGCCAAGACCCGGAATTGTCTGGCAAACTTGACAAGCTCCCTAATAACCTTTACAATATGTTACATCAATTAAAGTAGGAATATCAACAACAAAAATGTTTCCATTTAATTTATTGCAAATTAATAAATAAATGTTCTTAAAACTTGTAACATTTTTAAACTTAATTTTTTTACCTCTCTGCATTAGAATAATTATTTATCATGCTTTTCTGAACAATATATAAATAAACTAAAATGGTATTGTTTATAAATAGGGTACATCACAATTGCTGAAAAATATTTCTTAATAAGCAATGTGAAGTTAATATGCTCTACTATTAAACTACCTGACAATATGAATGGTTTCCAACTGCCTTGTGGGCTTCGTCAACCACAAGACACTTTATGCTCTCAGCTGTGCATGAGCCTCTGCTTAAATCGTTGGTGATCACTTGAGGGGTCAGGAATACAACTCTTTTCTCCCTCCACGCTTTTTGTCTGACAGTTGGGGGCATTGTGCCTAAGTAATGTATATAAGCGAGATCAGGTGCTCACATCAAAATAAATTTAAAATTATTGTCAGGTTTGTAAATAGGCTTCATATTGCTTCCAACACTTGCAGATTTGTTAAATTTCTTTTAATAATTTATTTGTTTTTAAATAACTATTTATCTTCTAAGGCTGATATTTATTTTCTAGCCTTTCTAACATTTCATGAAAATGATTTCAATAGTTTTAATATCTTATGTATCTTAGTATTTATACTTTGCATTACATAATTGACAGTTGAGTTACGACTCACCTGTCATTTCAACGGTATCTTCTTTGGGAATACCCATTATGTTGTAACAGGCATTGATCTGCTGAGCTACAAGAGGCTTTGTTGGTGCCATGAAAACAATCTTGCCTTGAGGGAACCAACGATAAAGATTGTACATCACTACAGCTGCTATGAAAGTCTTTCCTAGGCCTGTGGGCAGTACCACAAGGGTATTTTTGAAGAGGCTCTGCAGTTGATAAAAATGATGAAAATTTTATAGAATTTTGATAAACATGCATTTTATACATTTTCAGCATTGAATTATAATTTGTACAGTAATGTCCAATTTTTCATCATTGTATTTTCAGACTTGAGAGAAACTTATAATCATGAACATGTAAATCAATTCTAATTCCCTTCAAGACCAAATTACAAAAAGTATATGTTAATTTCATCATCATCAATTCAGAAGGAAAAAATCCATTTTTTTTTTAACCTGTTGCACTATATTGTATTGGTAGTCTCTGATTGGGTAATTTGTGGGATAAATCCAGAGATTTCCAGTCTTCTTATCAAATCCAGAAATATTGTCCTCTATATAGCCGTCTGATGGTATGCCAATGGAAATATTGGCAACATCATCTTCTTCCATCTCTTCATCAAAGTTGATTCCATCAAGGTCAATTATTGAATCTAAATTTCACAATGAAAATGTTTTTGCATATATTAATTAATTTATTTAACATAATCGTTTCCAAATAAATTATAGCACTCACACAAATTTCAGTGCTTATAAAAGCTTATACTGAAGAATAAGATTAAATACTGTGCATATACCATAAGAATTTACATCTTAGTACATTTTTATTAATTAAAAAATAAATAATAATTTCATTACAACTAAATGTGACTTAACAAACTTATAAAAAAGTTCTGAATTTTTTTAACATAGCCTGGCCAAAAGTTTTAAAATATTTCAGGAAAAAGAATGATGAAAATTACCATGAATCTATCCTGTTGGCAGAAATATATTTAAAGATGGTTTAATCATCTCACCTTCTTCTTGTGCCCCAGTCTTTATGTCATCATCTATATGTGATAGAAGTAAGTCGTCATCATCATCAATAAGATTGAACTCAGCTGTGTCATCTTCAATGCATCCTGTACTTGTGTTGCTGATATGGCTCGGGTTAGCTGCCATTTCAAGTATTTTATAAATGGATTTAAATGAATCCACAATAGGTAAATGGGCCAATCATTTATATTATGACTATTAGAATTATCATTAGGCCTATCAGCCTATGCAAATAAAATTCATGTTCAAAATGCACATTTAATTTAATATGATGATTCAACATATTGTTCCGACTAGGACTAAGATGTTCATTCTGAGTTTCTGTTGACTAAGTGACAGACTTGCTTTACAGTGATGCCATTTGTAGGCAGAGAGAGGTCTGGTAGTGCAGCTGTGACTACTGAATACTCACTGTGAGGACTGTGAAGATAAATTTTAGAATTGGGTGGTGTTATATACAGTGAAAATCATTTAACACGAAACTGAGGGTATCGAAATATTTCTTTGTGTTGACAGAATTGTGTGTTAAACGATGCAAACGAAAAATATATATACTCACCTTACATTAAAAAGAGTACATCATATTAGATACACTATTTACATTTCAAATTATTATACATTTTTTCGGAAAATAATCTGATTTTTTGTTTGTATTGCCTTTTTTAGCATCACATTGTCAGCAAATTGTTTGATATCGTCCATTGCAATATTCATTTTGAGTTAGCCTTCTTTCACATGAAACACCGACTCTTTTTTATTTCAGACCCCTCTATTTTCTCACCGGCAGGTGTATGTATTTTGTTCATTCTGAGAAGCAAAATCTTTTCGAGTTAAGCGAAGCGATTTTTGTTTCATGCTAAAAGCAAAAAAAATGTAATTTTGTAGTATTTTGTCAGGTCTGCATTATTATTTTGTGTTAACCGATTTTTCACGTTAAGCGTTTTTGCATTAATCATATTTCACTGTATAGCGTACGGCTTGGCTTATTTCTAAACTTCAACATTGAGCTATTTTTAGCCACAACAACTTGTATGCTAATATGACTTTGATACTGACATCACCGTGTAAATGTGCTGTGTCACCCCTTCCCTACCCACCCAATTCTTGTCTGGGGAATAGGTTGTTTACCTTCAAATGTGTTCTATTTGTTCTCAAGAATGTTGTTTTCTAGATATTCTTTACAAGACATTCTGATTTAATTCCTATATAAAGCCCATCAGGTTTCTTAGCAGATAGACATAGTGAGAATAGCAAGACTTAGATAGAGCCAGACAGAGAGAGCGAAAGAGAGATTTTTTTCTATATGAAAAGTTATATTATTGTGTGTGTAAACTAATTAATTGTATTTTGAGGAGTGTATCTGTTTTTTCACTTGCTGTAAGTTGCTACAGTTTTTTGCACTCAAATTTGTATTTGTATAAAAATTTATTTAAATAGGTAAATTAATATTTTTATTATCCCTAGCTTTGGTATCATTTTCTTTGCATATACTGTTTTCTCAGTCTTTTGTTAAATATTGTTCCTTTCATGAGTCAAATATAAACACAGATTAAATATTCAAAACCATGCCACAACAGTACGTAACAGGTTGGAAAAAAATTAATTCCCGATGGTTGTGAGATTCTGTGATCTGTCTCTCACACACATATACATTTATTTTGCAAAAATTAGTGTAAATATTGTTGATATTTATTGACAATAAATTGAAAAGGCCAACCTACAAACTAGAAGCTTGGATTTAGACAGAAAATGGAAAAGTAAAAAGATATCAAAATACTGGACCAGTATTCCAAACTTATCGACCTGAATAAGGCTTTAGACAGGGTCAATAGAGGTGGCCTGTGGAAAATCATGAAGAAATACGGATGCCCAGACAAGTTCACCAACATCATCCATCAGCTGCATGATGGCCCAAGTGCAGGACAACGGTCAGTTATCTCAAGCATTCCTTGTCACAAACAGTGTGAAGCAGGGCTGTGTCCTGGCTCCCACACTCTTCAGTATTATTTATTCCGCAATGCTGTCTGATGCAATCAAGGACTCCACCACGGGCTTGCCAATCCGTTTCCACACAGATGGATCAGTCTTCAACGCCTTTGGAGGCGTCAAGCTAAAATCAACGTCAAACATAGCACCATCAATGAGCTTCTGTTTGCAGGCAATTTTGCCATCAATGCTGCCTCAGAAGCCACCATGCAACACAGCGTTGATATCTTCTTCTACAAAATCACCGTGACCCACCCACCTCCCTTAGATGGTCCTTGTTGATCTTGACAGACGAACAACAAAAAAACGTAATAAAATAAGAGACTAAATAAATAGAGAGAGCTGACTGATGTCAGCAGACAGACTAAACTAACTAAATGGTATTTCTAAAAATTACTTATTTTAGTTCTAACTCTTGAGTATGTTTGGTAGACAGTTAATATGAGTTAATATAATATAAAATAATTTAGTAGTAAGAATAAGACTTAGTCTACGTATAATAATTCAAGTATTAAAGTAAGTAGACTAATTATACTAACACTAGTAATACAGGTACAATTAAGTAGTACTATTTCAAAAATTAATTAATATTATTAGTTAAGTATGAGTATATGTACCAGTAATTCAGTTGTAATAATTTAATAGTATAGTATAATTATAAAATAATAGTTTAGTGTGTTGTGCATAGTTCGTCCGTCGAAGTCGACTAGGACCATCGAGTCATCCGGTTTGGGGGAGGTTGGGATTACGGTGAGCTCGTAGGTGGCTTGCTAGACCGATCCTTGCTCGGAATAATATATGACACTGTGGGCATGGAATAGTTGCTTCAGGCGGTGACCTAATGTTACTCTTTCGGACAAGCCTGCGTGTCTCAGCTGTGGTTATTCTATTAGCTTCATGGGATTTAGCCCCTTTCTTGACAGCAGCTCTCCACCTGGCTCTTTTCTGGGGTGTCTGCACCCATTGAGTAGGGTTTATGCTGAAGGCCTTTAGTGCCACTTTCAGTGAGTCTTTGTAACGCTTTTTTTTTACCTCCTTGGGAGCGCTTGCCTATCGTGAGTTCTCCTAAGAATAATTGTTTCGGGAGCCGGTGGTCTTCCATACGGGCTACGTGTCCCATCCAACGGAGCTGAGATTGCATCAGAGTGGTGAAGATACTAGTTAGGTTCGCTCTAGCGAGGACCTCTGTGTCGGGGACTTTGTCTTGCCACCTGATGTCGAGGAGTTTCCTGAGGCAGGTAGTGTGAAAATGATTCAGTTTCTTGGCGTGACGCTGGTAACAGTCCACGTTTCACATCCATAGAGCAGTATCGGGAGGACTGCTGCGCTATAGACCTTGAGCTTTGTTTCTCGTCTGATACCTCTCCTGTTCCAAACAGAGCTGCTGAGCCTGCCAAATATGGCACTAGCTTTTGCGAGTCTACCATTCATTTCATCATCCATGACGACAGATCTAGAGAGGGTGCTGCCCAAGTAAGTAAATTTATCCACTGGGTTGAGACGCTGTTCACTGATGATGATGTTGGGTTTAACGTAGGGCTTACTGGGAGCTAGCTGATACATCACCTCAGTCTTCTTTGTGTTGATTGTGAGGCCAAAGTTATTGCAGGCCTCAGAGAAGATATCAACGCTGTGTTGCATGATGGCTTCTGAGGGAGCGTTGAGGGCACAATCGTCTGCAAACAGAAGCTCGTTGATCGTGGTATGTTTGACCTTGGTTTTAGCTTGAATCCTCCTAAGGTTAAATACTGATCCATCAGTACGAAACTGGATTGGCAAGCCCGTGGTGGAGTCCTTAAACGCATCAGACAGCATTGCGGAATTCGGAATACATAATACTGAAGAGTGTGGGAGCAAGAACACAACCCTGCTTTACACCGTTTGTGACGGGGAATGCTTGAGATGATTGACCGTTGTCCTGCACTCTGTCCATCATACCATCAATCATGCAGCTGACTAAGTAGTTTAGAAGTAGTATAATAAAGTATATAAATAATATTATATATACTATACTATACTATATTTTACTATATTATACTATTTTATACTAATATATAATATAAGATTTATAAGTATACTGTAAAGTAACTCACTATCACCATATAATGAGCCCCGTAATTCAAGTACCATTGTTAATTTCCGAATTCCATGAATTAACTAGCATATCTTCAAAACTAGAAACCCAAGAATAACTTAATAATAAGCGCTGTGTATAATATTATTTACATTGCACATATCCTTGTTTTAAAAAACTTTAATTTTCGCACAAAAGGTCTAGTCTAAATAAGCACTGCAAATGAATGTACCGGAAAAGAATTATCAGTGCTCTTTAAAAGAAGGGTATTTTAATTACTTTTAATTTAAAAAATAATTCACTGAGCAAAAAAAGTCATATTACAAGTCTTTCATCAACTAGTTTTAGCGAAAATTACTTATAGGCCTAAATAGTGCTAATTTGTATTAGCAGTCATAAGTCATCTAAGTCGCCTAAGAGTAAGAGTTAGAACAACAACAACAAAGAGAGTAAAGAACAACAGCTGTCTTACCAGTTACCACATATAATTTTTATAAATGTCATTCATACTTTGAAC